ATACAAAACTTTTCTTGGGCAAGGAGCAACTACTATACAAGAAATGGTCTTCCTTTCTCTCTACTACATATATCTTGGAACCCATCTAACTTGTTTAAATCAAGCTATCAAAAGCTCTATGAGACCTTAAAACTAAAGGTTGTATATTTTTCATATATTTTGAATCATGTTGATATTTTACCCTTGGTACAACATTTTTTTATCACATATACTTGTGTTAACATAAAATCTTAGAAACATACATAAGTAATATATTCAAAATCTCCTTTTACATTAGTGGATTCTTTCTTATTAAAAGTCACATGAGTTGCTTCTTCGACATACAATTGTTCAATTAGTATATGGAAAAAATGATACATAACTTTTATATTTTGTTTGATTTGCTTTGTTGAGACTGATTTATTGAAATGTCATTTATATTTTTTGAGCAGCACAAGGGATTTGGGTTAATAATAAGCACTAAAACATTTTCAAAAATAAGAGACAAAGAGGTAGATATTTGAAGCATACAAATGGAAACCAGGTACCAAGAGAAGCATAATAGGATACATGGAGCACAATTTACAAAACAAATAGCAAAGATTTAGATATTTGAAATCCCTTCTCTATGAACAAGTATTCTTCTTTTTTTCTTTTGTAAGTTTTTGTTGGTGTCCATATTTAATAAAATAGTTGTAAATATAACATTTTCTATAATAAGTAATAATCTTGTTATCATTTTATGTGATACATCATGGTAAAATTGCAATTTTAAGAGTATTTTTTAATCAATGTCAATGGTCAATTTCTTTTTCACTAATGTCAATTTATGCTGATGTTTAGTATTGTTAACAAAATCTAGCATTTGTTAAATGTTGCCATTTAAAGGGGATCTTTGGGGACGTTTGTTAAATGTTGCCATAAGTGGTCTTTGGTGACATTTAATAAATATCACCAAATGTGGATTTTTTGTGACATTTAATAAATGTCGCAAAAAAGTCTTAGAAATGTCACAAATTATTTTCATGCATGGATTTTTTACAAACAATGGTGATATTTGCAAAACGTCGCTAAAAGTGACACAAATGTTACAAAAAATTTTAACGACACTTGCAATCATGACAATGATTTAAATGTCACAAAAACCTTTTTGCGACATTTGCATAGCTTTTAGTGACGCTTATGAATTGTCACTAAAAGCCAATTTTCTTATAGTGGGGATAAGAAAAAAGAAAGCAAAAGGTAACTAATACATTATAAAAATAACAAAAGAAGACTAATATAGTAATTGCATACATTGTGACTGCATCTGTAATAGATAAAAGCTTGTAAAAAATGGGACATACTTTTCATGTTTCCCAACATCAAGAATACCTCAACTAAAAAGGTTAACACAATTCAACTTATAGGTTGGGTTTTAAAACATTGGTATAAATTCATTTATGGAAACATAAGGTTGAATACCTAATAGCAACAAGTTGACATGTGGAACAAAATAGTGTTTACCTAACAATTGTAGTTTCTGATTTGTAGATAAAGGAGAAAATTAAAGATAATTTGGTCATCAATAGAAACTCAATAATAATTTATTTTAAAATTAATACATAAAAAGTATGAATAATGCAAAAAATTTAGTATGGTGAAATAAGAAGATTGCATATTCTTTCAAGTAAGTCGTTGTTAAGTATTAAGAAATAACATTCAATGGCATTTTTTCCTACAAAATTATGTTCAACTAAGATATACAGATAAGATATGAAATAACCAAAACAATAATAACTTATGACTCATGAGCTAAATAGATTCATCTTTGAGACAAACCATTCATTCAAAAATATATCTCATTTTTCACTTCTTTAGAAAGCTCTTTTTTTGTCATTAACCTAACACTAAAACCTAATCCCTTTGGTTAATTATAAAAAGTTGATATATCTCATTTTCACTTCTTTAGAAAGCTCTTTTTTTGTCATTAACCTAACACTAAAGCCTAATCCCTTTGGTTAATTATAAAAAGTTGAAGATAACATGGACGAGATGTGAAAAGAATCAATAGACTAACTAAAAAAAATGTAAAAAAACAAATACACAATGATAATATATACTTAACATAGAGTGTCTTTGGAAATTAAAAAAAAAAAAAACTGATTTTACATCTCATGTACCATAACCATATTTACTTTCATTTTATTTTATATTTTACATGAGATAAGTTATAAATTTTTTCCACTAATTAATCATTCATTACAACTCTTTCCAAAACAATTGATTTATGTTGACACTTTACTTGGCCAAGGTATCTATGAATTCATGAGCATGTGATGTTTAAGGCACTTATTGTTGCTTTAATCTTCATCCCATGTAGTAGATAGTGCCAAGTTCCTATATCACCATTTCTCATCCATCCCATTATTACAACATAGACCCATTGAGTTTTAATATAAAAGAGTCAATCATCTATTGTTATATTCTTATATCCTCCATGGAGAAGGGAATAAAGGATTTCAAAGTCTTAATTCAATGACAGATTTTACCATTATGTTTTCCAATATCTCTTCTTTATACCTTACCTTACTCAAGAAATTTCATCATTTACTACCCAAAAAACCAAAAGTGGCTCCTTATGGTTTAAGAAAAAATCCTTTCCAAAATGCATAAACATGTACTTTGAAACACTGCTTAAATATTGTAATTTAAGACACACACTTAAAGTAGCATTTATGATTGAGAAAATCTCAACTCTTAGTTGCATCATTCTTCTTGTAAATGGAAACAATTCTAAACTTGTAGGCATGATTTTGACAATGATTGTTATAGCGAAAGAAAACCTTTGTACTAATGCACGGTTTGGATTTGGGTATTAGATTGACCTCCTTGATGACACAATAATGGTCATATGATCTCTCATTGATTATAATAATTATATATCAAAATTAGAACAAATAATTATTAATTAACCTATGCAATTGAATGTAATTGTGGTGGAAGATAACCTCCATACTAGAGTATAGTTCTAAGTTGTTGATTAAGTCATTCACTCTGAGTTTGAAACCAATAGTTACACAAAAATTGAGATGGAAAATGCATAATAAGCTTTTTTTATATAATAGATAAAAAATTATTAAATGTACATGAAATGTTGAACTCCTTACTAGCTATGCTATAGCATTTGATTAAGTTGTTGTAGCCAAGTTACTTGCCTACCCAATAACCAAGTTTGCTTAAAGGTGCATTACTTCCTCCTAATGAGTGTATCCCCCCTCTTGGAATGGTAATAGCTCCTTTTGATGAGGATCCCCCCTTCTTGAAGGGGTAGGACCTCTCCTTGATGAGTGTCTTCTTGAGAGATTTGATGTGCACTTTGTCCTATTGGAATAGTTCCATTGCAATTCCTTAAGTTATGACCATTTCTTTACACCGAGAACAATGCCATCTCCTATGTCCACAATCATAATTAGTTGTTAAAGGACCCTTATTTGCATTGTTATATGCCTTCGTACCCCTGACCTCCCAATATTTTGAAGGATTTTAAGTGCTTGAATTGGATCCGGACTTGAGGTAGGCCAATGTCTTTCCTTTGAAATTGGATGCATAAACATGACTATAAGATCTCAAATACGAGGCTTAAGTATATGACTCATGACAATAGTCTTCAACATTCTCCCTACATTGTTTTATACAAGAAAATGCATGAACACAAGGTAAATCACTTAGATCCCATTTCCGACATATGCATGATCTTCCAACAAGTTTTTCCACATTGATACTAGTATTGTATCAGACTTGATACTCACTTTCATCACAACATAGGATATTATAATCTTTATAAGTAGATTGTATAAGTAAACAAGCCAATACTATTAATTGAAACAAGAATAAAAATTAAGGAAATATTAGTTTTATACCTATAGTTAGAGCTCCTCCTATTTAACAATTTGTGTATATTTCCCATGATAATGGTATTACCAGTCATAGCTTGGTTACATCTCTCCTCAACTTTTTCCATTCATCACCTTTTAATACTTTCAAATAGTTGGATGATTGAAAAATACCTAGATGACATTATCCACATGTTAAATGACTCCACCAAATTGTTTGTAATGTCATTAGCCTTGGAAAGAATAAGAAATGCATGCTTAGACCATAGGGTTGGGTTAATTTCACTACACCATTGGTAAGCATTAGGGTTGATATCCTTTATAAATTGCATTACACTTAGAAAATCAGGTCTTGTGGATGCTTTAGCAATTGCCCAATAAAATCGCTTAAGTGCTCATTTTTAATAGCCTTTCGAAGTTACTATACAAGTTTCTAACACAGTATCTGCGCTCAACACTAAGTATGATGGGTCTCCCATGTTCAAAAATGTAAACAAGACTTACTCACCATGTTCTCATATAAGACTTTTCTAAGTACTTCAAGGGGGGAGAGGGAAGGTGTTAGGCACCCCTCTCCTGCAATTTGCATGTTGTATCATTCCCCAAGAAATTAAGTAAATAAAATGAGCTAAAAGAAAGAAAAAAGAAATAATAAGGAACCAAAGGTTTTACCTATCTAAGAGGTTGCTAATCAAGGTGAATTTGTCTAAAAACTGGTTCAACCCCCTCATTCTCTATTTGTGTGTGAAGGGACCCTTAGAGGAGCAAAGGAGTAGACAACAGCATGCATCCTTCTTCTTTGTCCAAGGTCCCCCACACTCTTACTAGTTAAGTGAGTAAGGTTGAAACACAAGGTATTCAATCCCCATGAGCCATCTCTCTTAAGGCAATTTCAACTTAAGACTTTACTTAGATACATAACACAAAAATTTAATCATGCATATCTCTAAATCATGCAAAACAAAATCTGAAAACTATAGAATAAAAAAACAACATCAAACAACATAAATATTCAACTACTTATAACAATATATTGTAAGAAGCAAACACATTATCTTTATATCAAGAAGAACCTAATCCAAAAACTAAGAAGACAAAGACATTTCAGAATCAAGTTATTCACATTGTGCTAAAGAAAACACTCACAAAGACATGTAATTTCCATTCAAATCTTCCAACGATTCACACTATTTTTTCCTGCATTTAACTACCATGAAATTAATCTTCAAACAAATTATAATATCATCAAATCAACAAAATAAACTATGCTGAAAACAAGAAACTAGATAAAACATTAGCAATATTCAGGCAAAGGAAAAATAAAAGAAATAAAAAAGAAAATGAGGTGGGAAACTCACCTCTATATAACCTTTGATTGAGTGGATTATTGGGCTGCAATGAACTGGATTGTTAATATTCCAAACTTGAGTTAAGCCTCTCTTGGTCGAATGAAAGTCCCTTGTCTCCTTGCTTTTCTCTCTTTTTTGATGGGGTTATTTGGACTGAATGAAGGGGATAGATGACGATTTGGTTTAGGTTTGATAGTGTAAGGAACAGGATGAAGATGAGAGAAAATGATTTGGTTATGGAGGTTCTTGGGAGAGAGTGAAGGAGAGAAGGGTTCGGTTGGGGTTTTTTAGATGGATGAGAGGAGAGTAATGGAGGAATTATGAGATAGTGGAGAAGAAGAAGGTGGCAGTGGAGATGGGATTCAGTGGTTGATGGGGGAAGGTGAGTGGAGAGATGGGTTCGGTGAGATAGAGAGAGGGGGTTCTACCTTGACTGAATGTGAGCTCTACAGGTTCTTCTTCATTGTTTTTTTTTTGTTTTTTTTTTTTTTTGCCAAACTGATCTTCTTCTTCTTCTTTCTTCTTGCTCATAGCCTGAAGAAGAGAGGATAAAGAGGATGACTAGGGATTTTGGGTTTGGTTTTTGTGGAGATGAGATTGCTTGAGGGAGATTGGAGATGGAAGGCTAGCTGATTAATAGAGAAAGGAGGTGGAGAGGATGGAGAATGAGGAAGAAGATGGGTTAGGGTTAAGTGGTTGCTAGGGTTGTGGGAGAGATGATAATGGGAATGAGAATGAGTTGTGTGAGTTGTTTGTGTGTTTGCCAGGAGGGATGGTTTGGTTCAAACCGAATGGTGTTATGTTTTTTCCCCTTTTTTTATTGTTTTTCGTTTAAACCAAATGGGGTTAGGCTGGTTTGGTTTGGTTTGGTTTGGTTGGAACTAGATTGGTTGGGCTAGGATCGAATTTGAAGAGTTTGGTTAAGTCTTGGTTAGGGTTTTAGGGTTTGAGTGTAAGAGCTTTAAACGAATGGACGGCTAGGATGTCTTGGTTCCAATCTAAGGGATATGAAGCTTTTAGATTTTTGGATTTTTTATTCTTTCCTTTTTTTTCCTCCTTTTTTCTATTGGTTCTCCCTTTTGACCACAATTAAAGCTATGGGACAAACTTTCTTAAAAGGCTCCCCCTTGTCTCCTTCATTTATGGATAAATGGGAAAGATTTAAATTTAAAGTTTAAATTTGAATTTCAAAATGCCTTAGTCGAAATTTAGAGAAGGTAAAGAGAAGGGTCAACTAGGATTTTGAGATTTAGGGTTTTAGGGAGTGCTTGCTAGAGGTTAAGCTGATCCTAGGGTGGAGAAAGAGCGTGGGTTTAGATCTAGGGCTAAGGTTGCATCTATGGTTATTGGGGGCTCTATGTAATTTCCAAGAGTATGTAGGAACCTAGATGAAAAAGTGTAAGGGGTTTTTGCAATGAAAGGGCAAGTCTAAGGGGTGCGATGTGCAGAATTCAAGGGCTAGGATTAAACCTCAAGATGTTAGGGTTTGTTTCAACCAACGAGATTGAGCGAATTGGAATCTTCGTAGATAGAGGGGTAAAGTGGGGTTTGATAGCCTCGAGGAGTGCGTTTGAGTGAGAAATCGTAATTTAGAGCGTATCGATTAATCAGGGCTATCAAATCAGGATCATTCTTGATTGAGGGGTTAAATGGTCATTTTGGATCTAAAAAAATGAAGGATGGTCGATTGAGACATTTAGTAAGGTGATGGCATGTTCTAGGTGTATTAGAGGACGTATTGTGATATAGATCTTGAATTTGGATAATTGTAGCTAATGAGAACTCTTGATTTAGAATCTTTTCAAATCAGGGGTAAAATGGTCATTTTAGGGTCTAAAATTTGTTGGGTTGTTGGTTGAGAGGTTTTGATGAGGTTTAAAGGTGTCAGATAATGGATCGTTGATCAGGAGGCTTTGATGAAGGTTTTGATAGGGTTTGAAGGTCCTAAATGGTGTATCTCGATGAAAATCTTAAAATTAGAAACTTATAGCTAATGTGGATGGTCGATTTGGAATATTGTCAAAAGAAGGAAAAATGGGTATTGCAATGTTTAAAATTGGGTGGATGGTCGATTAAGAGGTTGGTGGAGGTTTTAGTGAGATTTTGAGCTTTCGAATAGTGTGTCGTGATGAAGATTTTGAAATAATATGATGACAACTAATAAGGATGGTTGGTTCGAAACCTTTTTGGATTAGGGGCAAAATGGGTACTTTGAAGTTTGAAATTGGGTGGATAGTTGATCAGGAGGTTGATGAAGGTCTTGGTAGGGTTTGGGGGTGTTGAGAAAAGTGTCATAATGAAGATCTATAATTTTGAAGGCAACGGGTGATAAGAGTGGTCAATTTAGAATCATTCTAGATAAGGGGAAAAATATATATTTTTGGGTCTTAAATTCATTGGTTGGTTGACCAGGAGGTTGATAAATCATAAAGGTTTTGGTAAGGCTTGGATGTCGTGAAAGGGTGTCGTAATAAAGATCTTGAAATAGGAAAGTAGTAGCCAATAAGGATGGTCGATTTAGAATCTTTTTAGATGAATGACGAAATGGGTAGTTTGATGGATGGAATTTGAGTGGTGGATATCTTGGGATATTTGGAATCTAATGGGAGTGTCTAATGGTTTTAGAGGTGTTGGAATCAAGAGAATCTAAGTCGTGGGTGTTTTAGCCAATGAAGGGGCTTAAAATGGAATCTTGATTTGATTGATGGGTAAATGAGGGGATTTTAGGTTTAAACTTAGTATACTAGCATGGATTTGAATTACAAGGCTATTGGGAGGGTTTTATCATGTTAGGGATGTGTGGATTGTAGGTTTTAAGTTAGGGAAGTGTCATAGTATCAAATGCATTGAAATAGAATCTTTGATAGATAAATGACGAAATTAAGGAATTTAGAGCTGAAATTTGGTGTGCTTGATTGTTCAAGGGTTTTGTTTCATGTGACGGAGTATGATCCTGTGGCTGGTGTGGTGATGTGGCATGACCGTAACCACCAAAAGGGAATCTTGTATATCTTTAACTTTCCCCATTGACACCCAACTATCTCCCTTTTAATCTCCATTCTCATTTATTTTCTCTAAATTTGAAGCAAACTCCTTCATTGTCATATATTCATCAGAGCTAGGGAGTAATATGAGGGATCAAAGGAGAAAGAAAAAGAGAGAGATCCTAACAAGTTTTGCTTTTGATAGTTTTGATTAAGTAATTTAGTTAATTTGATTAATTGATATTAATGTTTATCATCTTCGTTGAAATCCTGTGATGGTTATTCATCGAAATCACTTTGGAGGCAATATGAATTGATGAAGACTCAAGTTAAGACAATCACTTTCGTCATAATCCCATGATGGTTGCTCATTAGACCACCATCATCTCTCCTTCCGAAACCAGTTTCAACATCTTTGTCTTCTATATCGTTTTCATAGATCAAATCTCCTAATTTGGACCTCAATCCTTCTCTCAACGTCTCAACTTTTGAATCCTACTTCGGTGGGGGTGATACCTAGTAGAGCAATAAGGAAGATGAACTGAGAAATTAAGGTTTCAGGGTAGGCAAAGATTATGGGTTCTCAATGGCCTATGGTGAAGCGAAGATGGAGAAGGGGAAGGTGCAGGAGTAGTTTTGGGTTTTTGAAGGGCACTATTGGAATGAAAATTTCATGAGCTACCTCCAAATGCGCTTCAAGGTAGCTCATTGTCTTAATAGTCCAGAGGAGTTGTCAACATTTGGTGGTTTCATTCAGAGGTACAACTGAATGACCACCAAGCACCAAAAAAGCAAGCTTTTCAATCTCTAGTGGTTGATTTGGTGCTACTGAACACCACTTGAATCTAGAGAGAATAGAGAAACAAAAGTGTGGTTTGTTTTCTACTGCATTGGATCTAGATAAGCCTTTGCATAGTCAATACCTTCTCTTTTATTGTTGCCAAGAGAAGAAAAAGTGTGGTTTTATTGTTATGTAACATTGTACTAGGTCTGGAAACGATCAATAAAGTAAGGCACATCTCTCATGGTGGTGGGCACCATGAGAGATGCATTTGGTCTCACAAGAATAAGACAATTGATTCAAAAAAAATAATAAAAAATTCATTTGAATAGGAGTAAAAAACATAAATAAGAAGGCTTTCTATTGTTTTTTAGCATTCATAGCTTTAAATGTTCTTCTTCCTACAAATAAAGAGAGTTGGTTTTGGTATGTTCATTTACCTTAAACATCAAAAGTAATGCCTCCCTCTCTTCTCTCTTATGCCAAATGCATTGTTCCCAAGTACTGCTAAAGGAGGTTTCAGACCACAAGATCAATAAAAAACCATGTTTTTGGTTGGAAATAGATAGTAGAACAGGGCTTTTGGTTGGAAATGGATAGTAGAGCAACGGTTATCAGAGGTAGGCGAACCACCAAATTGATGACAAAGTTGTGTGTTTCTCAAGAGCCAGTGGCAAAGCTACTTGCTTGGGTTTTCAAAGGTTGGAAAACCACCTAATCGACAGCAAATCTTTGTGTCTTGGTAGCTGACGACAAAGATACTTGCTTTGATTTTTAGAGGTCGGCGAACCACCAAATCGGCGATCTGATTTCCTTCCACTAGTAGTTTAAAATAGAGTCGTCATCGATTAGATACCGGTGTCCATTTCTTCTCCTATGGTGATTATCTTCTTCATCTCAGGTGACGGTTAAAAGACGCAACAACAATGATCATTTATTCTCTTTCAATAGGGTTCAAATAGTTAGGCTTTTGGGTGGAATAATAACAAGGGTATTTCTGAAACATTATAAAATGAGTCGAATATAACAAAGGGTAAAATGGTAATCTACTAACATCTGCTAGTTTGTGGCGTAGCGTGTAGCGCGATAACAGAGATTGTCACACGAACAAATCTCAAGATCAAGTTTCAATCCTGAAACCAAATAACACTCACAAAGAGAATTAAGCACATAGCTTGAATAATTGATAAAAAGTTCATTACAAACCCTAAAACATAAAGTATTTATAATGTACCAAAATAATGGCAAACTTGTAAATATTAAATAACCAAAATAAGTAAATAAATCAGCAAGATATCAATAACCAGTCATGAACCGGCGTCGGGTCACAAACAGACCAGGATCGATCGCAGAACTGGTTCATGACAGAGATTCGAGCCCCCTCTTCAAGACATCATCTGACGCCGGGTAACATAGGGTGCAGAACCGGTTGGAGGACCGGTTGACAATAGGGATTCCCCTCTAAGGCTGAACCGGCACTCCATCATTCACCTCCACTTGAAAAAAACTCGACCTCGAGTCATGATCAGGATATTTAAGCATCTCCTCATGCAAATAAAGATGAATATCAGCAACATTAAAAGTTTTGGAAATACCCATGTAATTAGGCAAATCCACCACATAAGCATTGGCATTGATCTTCTTAATAATCTTGTAAGGACCATACTTCTTAGGCTTTAACTTGCTATGCTTCCTAACAGGTATGCGCTCCTTCCTCAAGAACACCATGACTTCATCACCAACTTCAAACACCTTGTACCTTCAATGCTTGTCAGCTGCAACTTTATATTTCTCATTGGCCTTAGGCAAATCCACCACATAAGCATTGTCATTGATCTTCTTAATAATCTTGTAAGGACCATACTTCTTAGACTTTAACTTGCTATGCTTCCCAACAGGTATGCGCTCCTTCCTCAAGAACACCATGACTTCATCACCAACTTCAAACACCTTGTACCTTCAATGCTTGTCAGCTGCAACTTTA